GCAATGTAACTGAAGTGTTTATGCAGAAGTTGTTTAGTTGTTGCAGTTGAAGTTGTTGAGTTTTGCAATGCAGTTCTTATTATCTGTACACTTGAAGTTGTTGAGTTTTGCAGTGCATATTTGTTAAAAAAGATATAACCTACAGTAAGGAAAAAAGTTATCAGATTTAGAAAAGAACATTTGTTCAAAGAGAAGCACTAAACATGATTTTTCAACACAAAAACCACATGACTTGACTTATTTGTATCTTATCTTCTTTGTATATTCAAAGGCTGCTTTAAAATATCCTCTATAACACCAGCTATTAAAAATGTCTGTCTTGGGGAGCTCTGGTGGCCTAGTGGCAAGAAGCTGTACTGCAATCCCAAAGGTACACAGTTCTAATCCACCAGATGCTCTGCTGGAGAAGGAGGGACAATTTCCTCCTGTACCAGTCAGATCTGATTTGACTGTACATGCACAAAAAATAATAAAATAAAATTTAAAAAAATTCTAAAGAAAAGTCTGTCTTAAGATCCATACAAACAGTGAGGTTCTTAAGTACCAACACAAATAAACAAACAATAAACCACTCAACATATTCTGAGACCACATCTGACAGGGATCCCAAAATTTCAGAAAATACTGCCACTGAGTTTTTAAACCTTGATTCTTATTTGTAAGGGCAGAAGTGCCAAAATCAAAGGCAATTTCAGGGAGAAACAGTACTTGGAAGCTTGTCACAGGAATCTTTATCCTTTCTAAATTTACTGTAATATCCTAAATAGATTATAATTGTAATGGATTTCCTCATACTCTATGGAATATTCTCCTCTCTCCATGCCTTCTTCACATGACTTTGGCCGTCTCCCTTTGGCCAGTGGAAAATGAGCAGAGGTGATGTAAGCAGCAGCTTTCAATGTGTTTGCATGATTTGGCTCTCCTTCTTGTGTGAAACTAGCACATTTAGGGAAGTTATTAATCCAGAATGAGGAAACACGGGAGCAGACTGGAACCTATTTTGTAGCCCAGCTGATCTCAAGCAAGCCCTGTAGAGCCATGAGTGGTGGGCAGTCCATGACTCAGAATAAATCTTTGTTGTCAAAATTTAGTGTTGATTGTTACACAGTGTTATTTAAGCAAATCCTGAGTAATGAATTAATGAACAGTCTTGGACTCAACTTTATTAAATCTTGACATGTATTTTCATAAGAAATAAAACAGTATAAGAATGTTTTAAGATCCTCTGATAACTTTTTTATCAGTTCCATCCATTACTAGAGATAATAATTTTAGTGTTTACCATATTTGTGCTTCTTTTTATACTTTTTATTTGAGATATATATGTCAATATATATTTATATATATCTCAATATATATACATATAATCAATATATATTTATATATTTTTATATATCTAAAATATGACAGTGTGGTTTTGTTGTTGTTGTGTGGAGTCAGAATCGACCCTTAGTTGACTCTGCGGGTTTTCAGAGGCAGTTAATCCCATGGGAAGAGTTTGTTCATCCTTCTGTGGAGCAGCTGGTAATCTTGAACTTCAACACAGCTTCTTGCCACTTGGCCACCAGAGCTCCCTACAGGTAGTAGATTTCTTTTTTTAATACTGAACTGCTAAGAGAACAAACAAGTTCATCCTCCAGGCTGCTCCTTGGAGTCAAGGATTCTGAAGCTTCGTCTGACATGCTTTGGGCATGTTACAAGTTGGGATCAGTCCTTGGAGAGAGACATCATGCTTTGGAGGGTGCAGGGAACAGCACAGGAGAGGAAGACCCTCGATGAGATGGATTGATTCAGTGACTGGGGTAATGGGGGTAGGTGCAGCAGAGACAATAAGGTTGGCACAGAATAAAGCAGGGTTTAGTGCTGTTGTACACAGCATCACTATAAGTCTTAGGCAACTTGACTGCACATAACAACAACAGAAAATACTGGTACATATACAAGTTCATAAAATTCGTATAGAGGTAGTAGAATTTTTTATATTAATGTTCATCACAGCTGAATCAGCCTGGACTCATGGTGGCTACATATATAATAAAACAAAAAGTTACCTAGTTCTGCACCTTTTCCATGATCAGTTATGAATCAGACCATTGAGATCTATAAGGTTTTTATTAGGTAATCTTTCTAGTCTATCTTAGTTTGAATGCTCTACTAAAATTTGTTTAACCTTGTTATGGATCAAATTATGTCCCCTCAAAATATGTGTTGTAAGTCATAACTCCTATACAGGAAGCTCTAGTGGCCTAGTGGGTAAGGAGTTGTGCTGCCAATCCAAAGGCATGTGGTTTGAATCCACCAGCTGCTCCAGGAAAGAGAACTCTCCTTTTGTGTAATTTATAGCTTCTGAAAACCCACTGGAGGGTAAGCTTTGAGTTGACAGCACATAACAACATACATGTGGTCAGTCTATTTGGCTGGAAGGTGATCCCGAGGGTAAGTTCAGTTTTAGGTTTAAAGAATGTCTAAGGGTTAGGGAGCTCTGGTGGCCTAGTGGCAAGAAACTGCAATCCCAGAGGTGAATGGTTCAAATCCACCAGATGCTCTGCTGAAGAAGGAGGGACAATCTTCTCCTGTACCAGTCTGATCTGGTATGATGGTACACTTACAAAAAAAATTTTTTTTAAAGTTTAAAAAAAATTTTTTTTAAAAAAAAAGAATGTCTAAGGGTTGTAATCTTGTCACTATTACAGGAGTAATTCTGGTCTTTTTTATAATTTTGAATTTTGTTCTATATTTTTCTCCCATTCTCTCCAGGACCTTCTTTTATTATAATCAAGGTGGTTGATAACAGTAGCCAGGCACCATCTAGTTCTGCTGGTCTCAGAGGCAGTGGAGGCTGAAATGATTCATGTGGCCCACTTGTCCTCTATACTAATTATTTAAATGGATCTTTTACTTTCTTCACTTATTACCTCTCAATGGGGAGAAATCAATAGTTGCTTCTTAGCCAGCCACTCACCAGCTGGTAAGACTCCAGTTTTTACTCATTACAGTTAAGATGCAGAGTGTTATCTTTGTAAATGATCATCTGCCAGTTGACTCAACTGTCTCCTAAGACTTCTAGTTCTCTGTCCCCAAGCTCATTCCCAGAAGATGTTTGGTTACAGCTAAGAAATTATCATAGTTTTGTCCTCTATTTGTTCTACTATGTACATGGTTATATTTAGAATATAAATACAGAATAGATCTTCTGCCAAATCTGTATACAGCCATGAGTGTACTCTCAATTGCCTGACGATACAGCCTACATGTCTGCCTATATATTCACTTGTAGATTATTATTTGTTGTTACTGATATTACAGGTTATATGTATAAATAGTATTTACTTTTGTTGTCTTTAAATTTCGTACATCTTTCTTAGTGATATTGTGCTGATCTTTCCCTTATTAGCTATTTAATTAGCCTTTCCTTTTATCCAAATTAATGTGTTTAATCTAGTTAAGGAAACACTGGTGGCATAGTCTGTAGGGAATTGGGCTGTTACTCCAAAGGATGTACCTCTCTGGTAGTTAAAATACACCAGTGGTTCAATTTCCTTCCTTCACCCTCCCTTCTCTGGTAACCATGGAAAAAAAATTTCTTTCTATGTGTAGACATTTTCTTAATTTTTTAAATAGTTATTACATAAATATTTGTCATTTTGTGACTGACTTATTTCACTCAGCATAATATCCTCAGGTTCGATGATTTGAGATGTTTCATGGATCACTTTTGAGACCTAAAAGAGAGATTAGACACAGAAACAAGAAAGCATAAATAAGGAAAAGGTAGATACCATGTGGTGATCTCCAAAGGACTACAAAAAGAATGTGAAAAAAGCTGAGGCCAGTTTTCCCAAAACAGAGAGAGATTTTCTTTTAGAGCCATGAATCTAGACTTATATCTGGATTATTATTATTTGTTTAAAAAATATACATATGTTAAAGTCACCCACTTGTAGTAGTTTTGTTATTGCAGCATTGAGAAATGAAGACAAGCACCATAGCAACACACAAATCTCTGTTGACAGTTAAGTGGGGACTATGCAGGAAAGATAATGGCTGGAAACTGATGTCACATCTCCCCCATGAAAAGTAGGAATGATACCACTGGACCAATGTCCTATGAAACTATATGTAAGTTGTACCAAATTATATGCATCCTGCAATCCCTCCTCATCCTCAGCTACACGCATACACACATATTCCAGGCTTATCCATGTTGATACAATGGCTTTTGTTCATCTTCTTTAAAATAAAAGCCACAACATAGCTTATCTCTGTTGGCAAACAATTAAGTTATTAAAATATGAAGGGACTGTAATGAACATTCTTGTTACATCTTGAATTTCTCACTCTTAAGACTAACTTCTCATTTTCTGAGAACGAAGGGTGCATGACTGCTTGAACTTTCACACATACTACTTGCAAATCTTTTTAGCCAAGCATGTTCCTCTGCCCCAGGCCCTTGCTGGAGCTGCTGCCTGGGAGGAGCCCACAGCACCTCAGCCTTTGGCACCTCTGATTTCTACCACCTGCCTCTGACCATGGAGCGAGTGTCTTGTGATTTTCTGAGAACATCTGGGTGCCATTTCTGGCTGCTCCTTCCAGATCTGACTCATCAATTTCGTTTTCCACTTTATTTCTCTGATCATTAAATGATTTCAGGTTCCTGGTCAGGATTGAAATGTTGGCAAGAGAGTTGGGAACAGAGAAATGAATGAAGACTCTGTTAATTGGCCTATTTCTTCCTTACCCAGCAAATCCCCCCCGACCCCCCCCCCCAGATGCAATTACATTTGAGAGCTGTAGCGCATGGAATCTTATGTTTTATGTCTTTATTCATCATTTTACAAATGGGACACACTGTAAAAAGAAAATTGCCTTTGTAGTTGAGTTCTTCAGACTCTGGGGTGTGATGCTCTGAGCTTCAGATTCTACACCAGCTACTTCTGCCACCTTATTCCTGATGAGTGAGACCAGGCAGGAAGGTGAGCTAAGAAATCAGGCAAAGCATGTTTAAATTCAATATATTTTTATTCTTTGTAAATACAATGAGTACAACTTTTTAACTTCACAAATCAGTTAATTCACTTTGTACAAGAAAATTTTTATTCATCCTATGATAGTCCAAGTGCTGATTTTTTCCCCTCAGTGCTAGTACCTAAGAAATCAAAATGTGAAAAGTACAGCAGCTATTTTTAAATGTTTGTTTCTACATTTCCATAAGTATAGATTCATACCAAAGGAGCAGCTTATAGTGTAGGACTTGTGTGTCTATGTGTATGTGTGTGTACACATGTGCATGTGACCAAGGCTTTACTAGAAACCAGAGTCTTCTGAAAGGCATTGAAGAGTCTCAGACTGTTAACAATAGACCAATGGAGAAACCTGTTAGCGTTCATCTCCTTGAAGGCTCTTCTAGCATCATGTCCGTGTTCATTCACTGGTGTGACGCACTGAAGCACCAGTTTGGACCCCCACTGCCTTTGGTTTCAGCACTATGGGAATGGGACAGCAATCTGCCTCACTCAACCACTCAACTCCACTATTTGGTTTTGGCTGTTTTAATTCATCTTCCCTCAACTGTATTCTTTTAGTAAAGCTCTTCTATGTTTTGAGATGGTATCCAACCACAAGTTTTGGTGAGAGTCTTCTTTTTACCCACCAATTCCTTTGACAAGGTTGCCTGGCCTATGGTATTAAAAAGGAGGAGGGGGGAAAGGAAAAGAGAAGGGGGGAAGAAGACAGAGGCAAAAGCAAATCATATGGCATAAGCTACTTTTCACTTATTAACTCAGTCCTGAAGGCCACTTAATGATGTATTACAACAGAAGGGAACATGTAATAAAATGATTTAAAACCTAACCATTGTTGGAAAATAAATGCTCCAACGTGAGATTGTTCTGAAGGCCGCTGTATGACATTATACACAGAGCAACATTTGGTTCCCCAACTTTATAGGCCAGGAAAGAAAAGAAAGCATTACTTGTGTTTCTGCTTTTGGTAGTTCTGTCCAGTCTTCCAGGTATGAGGCAGAATGACAGACTGTGGCGATCCAGGCTCCACTCCACTCCCAGGGCAGCAGCCACAAGGTCTCTGCTGAGGTGGCCCTCTTTCACTCTCTTTCTTTTTGGGCTACTCTACTCTGGGGGAGGCAGCAGGTCCGAGCTACTGGACTCGTTTTGTGTCAATTGACTTTTTTTTTCCTGAAGGCTACACATTCCCAGGCTTGCTTCCTGAAGGATTTGTTGTTAGTTGAGGATTGTTCTTCATGGGAAGAAGTCCATCTGATATGGTCCCATCCTGAAAAGTGGGTACTTTTGCAGCTTAGATATCACTGGATTTGTACATATCTGAAAGCAGTCTTGTAATGGGCACATTCCCAATGGTTTTTTTGAAAAACACTTCTTCTATGGTTGATGGGCTAATAGAACGTAAAGCTGGCAGAAGCAACAGGAGTTTTCCAAAGCGACATGGCTGGGTGGGATATCTGGAAAATGAGAAGCCATGAAAGCTAGATCAGCTGCTATTACTAATGGCAATTAGTACCCTGTATTTGAGCACTTGTCATATCCCATATAATTTCCAGATTTGAGACTCTTAATAATGAACCCAGGAGTCAATTTGTCCTACTGTGGTGGCTTGTATGTTACTATACTATTGATATTTAAAATACCAGCAGAGTCACTGACAGTGGACAGCAGAGCTTCCAGACTAAGACAGACTGGGAAGAAGAACCTTCTTATCTACTTCTGAAAAAAAAAAATCAACACCCAAAAACTGGCCAGTGGAAAAACTTTAAGGACAGCAGGAGACTATTGCTTAACTCATAGCCAGAGATGAGCCTCAAGATGGAAGATAGTCATAATATGACTGGAAAAGAACAGCTTCCTCAAAGTAGAGTCAGCTCCAAAACATGAATGGGGCAAAGCTTTCAGGACCTCCCCTTGCTGATGTGGCAAGGGAACTCAAAACGAGAAGAAACAATCGCAAACATCCATTTATAAGTGGAAAGTGAAGCGTATGAAGCACGAATCAAGGACATTTGAAAGCTGTAAAAAAATGAAATAGAGTACTTTAAAATTTATATCCTGGGCATTGGAAAGCTAAAACAGACTAGTATTGACAATTTTTAATTAGCAATCATATGGTCTCCTATATTGGGAATGAACTGAAGAGGGATGGTGTCATATTAATTCTCAAAAAGAACATTTCAGGGAGGAAATGGCACAACAATGGAAGAGTCTTTTTAAAGGGAAAAGTGAACTGGGGGTAGGGAGGAAAATGTGTAAGAATGAGTGAATGAAAATCCAAGTTTTCTGTAAATTTTTGTTAAAATATCAATTAAAAAATTTAAAAAACCAAAAAAACAAGGGGAGGGGAGATATATCTTGAAGTGCAATGCTCTCATATCCATATTTGCCTACAGGGAAGACAAGTCAATATCAAAGATGAAGAAAATGAAGGGTTTTTTAAAACTAACTTTTGCATTCTGTAATCAAATATGCAATCAAAATATACTGATAATTATTAGTGATTGAAAGGCAAAGGTTGGAAACAAAAAAGTATGTACTTGGAAAAATATAATTGTAGTGACAGAAGTAACACTAGAGATCAAATAGATCAAATTGTGCAAAACCAATTACTTATTCATTGCAATTACCTTTTTTTTCAACGATACAAAACAACAACTTCACAAGGAAGACTCTCTGGATAGAATACACAGGAATCAAATCAACTACATCTGTGGGATAAAATGACAAAGACGCCCAATATCATCAGTCAGACCAAAGCCAAGGAACAACTTCAGAACAGACCATCAGTGGTCTACCCACAAGTTCAAGTTGAGGCAGAAAAAACCCCCATAAGTCTAAAAGAGTCAAAGTACAACCTTGAGTATATCCTGTATGAACTTAGAAATCATTTTAAGAAAAAAAATTAATTCATTGAATACTAATTACCAAAGACTAGGAAAAAATGTAATATGACAACATCAATATCAAATATTAAGAAAGCAAGAGATAATTTAAAAAGATGGAAAAGGAAAAATAATGTTAGAAAAGATTGGAATTTAAAAGATTGGAATTTGCTCTTGAACATAGACTAACAAAAGCAATTTGAAATAATGGTGAAGTAAAAGAGATGAGGAGAAGATTTCAAATTATGACAGAGAAAGAAGAGTATAGCCTTATAATGAAATGTGCAAAGACCTGGAACTTGAAGATGCAAACAAAATTCTGCATTTCTCAAGTTGAAAGACTTGTTCATAGGCTTGAGTCATACTCAACTTGATGGCACCTAACAAGTTGAAAGAATGAAAGAAAAATTAAAGCCTTAAAGTAGAATAAATATTGAAGGATTCGGTAATCAAAATATTAAATTATGTAGAAAACATCAGAAAAAGTTAGAATATAAAGAGTCATTATATCAAAATGTGGTTAGTGTTCAACTATTTCATGATGTAGCACATGGCTAAGAACAAATGAATGGTACTGAAGGAAAAGGTCCAAGTTGTACTGAAGGCATGGTGGAAAACAAGGCTCCAGGAATTGATAGAATACCAAGTGAAGTATTTTAACAAACAGATGCAATGCTGGAATCATTCTCTCATCTTGGCCAAAAAATTGGAAAAACTGCTGCCTGGTCAACTGACTAGAAGAGATCCATACGCATAACTTTTCTAAAGAAAAGTGACTCAACAGAATATGGAACTTGGAAACAATGTCATTAATATCACATGCAAGTAATATTATATTGAAAACTATTTAAAAACAGCTACTATAGTATAGCAATGGAAAATTGCCAGAAATTCAAGCCAGATTCAGTAGAGAACATAGAATGAGAATATCATTGCTGGTGTCAGATCTTGGCTGAAAGTAAAAAACATCAGAAAGATGTTTACTTGTGCTTTATTGATAATACAAAGGAATTAAACTATGTGAAGTGCAAAACATTTTTTAACAACATTGTGAAGAATGGTAATTCCAGAATTAATTGTACTCACATGGAACCTGTACATAGACCAAGGGACAGCTGTTCAAATAGAACAAAGGAATACTGTATGGTTTAAAATCAAGAAAGGTGTCTATCAGAGTTGTATCCTTTCACTATACTTATTCAATACATGTACAAATAATATGAGAACTGGACCAGGGGAAGAAGAATTTAGCATCAGGACTGGAGGAAGATTCATTAGCAACTTAAAACATGCAGATGACACAAGGTTTTGCTAAAAGCAAAAAAGACTTGAAGCATTCACTGATGAAATAAAAAGACTACAGCCTTCAGAATGGATTACATCTTAACATTAATAAAACAAATCTACTTACAACTGGGCCAATAAGCAGCTTCACGATAAATGGGCAGCGGGGGTGGTGGGGGGCGGTGAGAAGATGGAAGTTGTCAGGATTTCCTTTTATTTGGATCCACAATCAATGCCCAGGGAAGCAACACTCAATAAATCAAATGATGCATTGTACTGGGCAAATATACTGCAAGGGAGCTCTCTAAAGTTTTAGAAGATACTACTTTGAGAACTAAGGTGCACCTTACCCAAGCTAGAATATATCCAATTGCCTCAAAGGCAAGCAAAAGCTGTTGTTGTTGTTATGTGCCATCGAGTCGTTTGCGACTCATAGCGACCCTATGTACAACAGCCCTAAACCCTGCTCTATCCTGTGCCAATCTCATTGCCTCCGACACACCCATCCCGAGTACCCCAGTCACTAAATCAATCCACCTCATAGAGGGTCTTCCCCTCCTGTGCTGTCCCTCCACTCTGCCCAGCATGATGTCCCTCTCCAAAGACCTGTCCCTCCTTACAACATGTCCAAAGTATGTCAGGCGAAGCCCCAGAATCCTTGCCTCCAAGGAGCAGCCTGGTTTAACCCTCTCTAGGATGAATCTATATGTTTTCTTGGCAGTCCATGGTACATTCAGTACTCTTCTCCAGCAGCTCAGCTCAAAGGTGTCAATTCTCCTTCTATCCTCCCTAGTCATTGTCCAACTCTCCGATGCATAACAAGTGATTGCAAAAACCATGGCCTGTATCAGGTGCACCTTAGTCTAGACAATGAATTATGAAGAAGACCAATAAAGAATAAGAATAAATAAACCTATTTTGGAATAAGTACAGCCAAAATACTTAGAAGTGAGAAACTTGAGACTTTCTCTCACATATTTTTGGACACATTGTCAGGAGAGACGAGTCCCCTGGATGAGCAGCATACTTAGTAAAGTACTGAGGCAGCAAACACGAGGGAGGCCTTCAATGAGCTGGGCTGACACAATGAACTCAAACCTAGAAGTGACTGCAAGACATAGTGCAGGATCACAGAATCCTATTCTATTCTGTTATATAGAAATTTAGCAATGACTGGATGGCATCTAACCACCACCACAACAATGCCTCCACACACTAACCCATAGCACTAGCCATGCAACAGAGTCCAAGACAGCTACTACAAGCCTTGTTTTGCACGGAGAATAATTGAGGCGTGGACAACTTAAGAAAGTTGCCAAAATAATAGGGCAAACCTATTTTTCTAACCTAGCAAAAGAGTTTGCATTTTATTTGGGGAAAAAAATTTATAGAAGATGATACTTATTTTAACCAAATGATAAGCTTATAGTGTGGAAAACTGCCATGATGCTAATGAAATCTAGAGACAGAATCCTTGCCTTCTTAACTCTCAAGGTTTCCAATAAGGACATCCCCCTGAAATAAAATGGCTTCTTTTTCTAAGAAAGTCTCCAAATTATTATTCAGGCATTATACTTAGTTGCTCGCAGGAATAATTCCATCCTTATTACAGTGAAAATTAAACACTAAATTCTGTTGGGTGGCACTGCCACCCAACTTTCATGTCAATGAAATTGGCATATAATTAAAGATAAGAAAAACTGCCTAATAATTTCCTCTCTTGACGTCCAACATACATCTGTGCTCAACTGTGCCATTTCAATTTTCTGCTGCCTGTGGATGCCTAAAAGCCTCCTCCCTCTGACACCCTGGAACTTCTTCAGCCAAGAGCTTGGAATCAGGTGACAATAACACTCCACTCCAGTGAAGGAAGGTTCACTTCATCGAAACAGACCATTTAAAAATACCCAGGGGATATATTTGTGACTAAGCTGAGCTCTGATGGCCTCGTGGTAAGAAGCTGCACTGCAATCCCAAAGGCATCTGGTTCAAAGTCATCAGCTAGTCCAAGGGAGAATGATGGGAAATCTCCTCCTGTGCAATTAACTGTGTCTGAAAACTGTCTAGAAGGTCTGCTATGGGTGGGTTCCGACTCAGTGGTACAGCAATAAGCTGCATTCTAACCATACCCACAAGATGCTCAAAATAAAAGTCTATCAAAATCCCTTCTAAGATGGTTGATAGATGAACACTGTATTTAACTGCCTGATGTTACTGTCCAAAACGGCAACTTTCATGCTTGTCTCAGCTGTGAGCACATGATAGTCCCTCTCCTCTCCTCAACCTGA